TACACACCACATTTGTTGCCAACTAATGGTGTTTTATTCAAGAACAGCTGCGCGTATCCCGTCGCAGTTCGGGCATGCCGAGTCAGACAACACCAAGAATCTCGCATAGGGTTATTGCTCGCTTCAAGATATAAGTACGTTTGGTCCAAAAGAAATCTACTGTAATACAATGGGTATGAATAGCCTGCGATTTTCATAACCTGGTTTAAAAATCAGAAAACGTCTCGTGGCTCACCTGAAGGGTCAACAACACAATAGCTGGATGTCAGGTGGGTAAATTACATTACTCGCACTCTTTCTGGAACAACATAATGACGGTGGTACATTGGTTGCTATCACGCAAAACAAAATCAACTTCTTTATACATCACAGAGCCAGGTTAAAATGGTGTCTTTCTCACGAGAGTGAACAGCACATTCGTGTATCTATCTAATATTTAGATGGCGGTGTGGCTTGCATAATGCTTGCGCTGGGCAAAGGCTGCTTAATCTTTCCAATGTGACTCGAGTAGGTACACAGTCGATTCTGTCATATGCCGCACTCCATAGACCAAGTAAACGCCGCGAATCTTGGAGATCTGTGACAATATTTTGTGCCATTTCAGTAGTATCGTAGGTAGCATGAATGCGTTATGTAGCGTGGGACGTCAGGAAGTCAGCGGTATTCGACGTTCGAGAGGATGTAGCGACAGCACACGTCGGTTCTGAAATGTGCAGATATAGAGGTTGGTATTACGGAATCCACACGGCACACACAGCACACATTCGCACAGGTCAGGTGACACAGAAAAGAACACCGGAGTGTGGCAACAACACACGTGTATTAAACCGAAACCGGAAGACGGGGGTACAAATTCAGGTCAAGGTCAATCGGGGGGGGGGGTAAAAGAGGGTTACTCTTTCCTGCCCGGGGCTCGTCCGTGGTACCTGCAGTAGGAGGAGAGAGAGGGAGAGGTACACATAAGGTCATTAGATAGACGTGCAAGCAGATACAGTCGAGTTTCAACTGCGCTACAGTTACAGTAACTGAACTTTGTGCCAAAACAAACGATTTAAACACATTTTCTCTTAATCCGGAGCCAGTTTCTGATGAACGGTGTGGGCATGCAGCATGTTCAATTATTGAAATCCTCATTTGTATACACTGCAGCTCACTGGCAAGAACTTACCAATATCCTTCACTTGGTCAACAAATAAACGCAGGCCAGACACTACCGAATTCAACACGCCACACTTTAATTTGCTCTTAATTTCCACAAATATGCTCTCTCAGAATCTGTTTCTTTGTTGCTACAAGGTGACCGGACCTGCTGCCGTTTGCAAAGGATGAATTTGTAAAGCATGAGTCAACACTTGTATTTCGGTAGCAAAAATTTACAATTGGCCTTAATGTAAACGGAGTGGTCATGGTTATGGTCCCAACTTATTACAGGGTTTATCTTTTTTTCACATTCATTTGGTTTTAATAAAGGCAGGAATAAAGTAAAATGAATTGATTTTGGTGAAACCAATCCTAACCCATAGGCTAGAAAGTTGGTCAACCCGATGGGTATTTGTTGGATGGAATCGAATTTTTGAAAATCACAATAATTTCAAGGTCACTAATTCATGGTTCCGCACGAATTTCCGCGTCTCCTTCTGCTAATGCTTCCTGTGCTGTTAACTATCGGCAGTGCGCTCAGCTTACTAGCTTCTGTGGATTCCTCGATCTCCTCTTTAGTTTTGTTGACCGCCTGCTGCAGGCACACCCACTCGCAATGTAAAACAGCGCTAGTGCTTCCAGTACCCGCGGCACGTACACA